TAACATGTAACTTTTTCTTCAATAAACATTTCCAATGTCTCCAAAATGTGCCTACTACAATACAAAGTCAGATTTCCTATTTTATCACTACTGATGGTAAATTAATGGAATAAAGCATTTCGACTTTGAACAAACTGAAATTCCCCATAAAGATTTTTTAAAATTCATTTTCATGAGCAACTGAGGTTTTTGAAAATACATTTTAAGTGAAAGTTCCCCAAAATGATGAATTTACTATAGAAAATTTACAGCAGTACATGCTAGTTTTACATTAAACCTTTCAAGTACCTTCTATTTCTCCCTTGCTCAGATTATGAGAGTAAGATGCTATTGAAAGCCGTGACTCACCTTGTTTACCTCAAGTTTTAATACAGAGTATCCAGGACAAAATTGCCATCCTGATGACAAGAGTGGCCTCTAGACCAGTGGTGGTTTTGCCCCCAGGAGACATGTGGCAATATCTGAAGAATTTTTGGCTATCACAATTGGGTGGGTTCTACCAGCATTTAGTGGGTAGAGGACAGGGATGCTGTTAATGCATAGGGGAGCCCCTCACAACAAAGACTTATCTGGCCCAAATCTGGCCCAAAATGTCTGTATGCTGCTGTTGAGAAACCCTGCTCTAGATTGTAGATCATAAGTAATCCTAAAGGAAATGACTCTCTCCTTTCCTACTGAAGAAAATCAAGAATGAGACTTCTCATATGGCCTGTACTTTTGACTTTAAAAGTAATTTTCAGGGAAAAAAAATCCCTAACAAAGCTTCTGCTATAATTTCAGAGCTATATATAATTTGTGTGTGCTTTTACATAATTGTAAATATGGTACCTGCCTCAAGAAAAAAAAAATCTCAATATGATCTATAAAGCTAAGCTTTCTAATCTGATATCTGCCTTTAAAGTGTGTGTATATGAACATGTATACATGCATACATATAGGCCTAGAAAATTTACTGAAAGAGTTTTAATATAGTTTACCTTAAAGAATGGGATTTGAAGGGTTAGTGAGAGTGGAAAGAAGTATTTTTACTTTTCACCTCATATCTACCTATACTGTTGAATTTTTCACCATAAGATTATATTACTTTTATAATCATTTTAAGAGAAGGCTGTCACACATATATACATACAGTATATGCATACATTCTTATGACGAAAACTAAAAATCACTATGATTCACAGGCCTGTGAATAACCACTGCACTCCAACCTGGGCAACACAGTGAGATCCTGTCTCTAAAAAATTAATTAATTAAATAAAATAAAGCAAATGAGTGAGGTTTCATCTCACCCACAGCAATTATGCAAAAATGGTAAGAAAATCAAGGGACACCCTCTTTCCATTACATTTAAACCAAAGCAAACTTTTTCAGATTCTCCCTTATAAGTTTCAAAGGAAAATAAACTTTAATCTTTAAAGTCTAGGGCTAACCCCCACTTCATTTCCTAGCTAAAAAGTAATCTCACCAAAGTCTTTTCTTTAGGAATTTTATTATTCTTTGAACTTGTTTAAAAACAAAAAAAAAGCCTGCAATTGAAAAATTAACATTTAAAAATCAGTTTTTTAAACTGGGCATGGTGGCACACGCCTGTAGTCCCAGATATTCAGGAGGCTGAGGCAGGTTCGAGACAAGCCCGGGAAATATAGCAAGATCCTGTCTCTAAAAATAAAAAATAAATTTTAAATGGTTTTTAAGGAATTTTTAACCTGACCTCTATTGTAAACAATGTGCTCAGAATAGAATTTTGATGGGATTCATTGCAGTTCTGACTCTTCTAATCAAGGCCTTAGAGTCACAGCTAAGAAATATACTCAGAATGCCTGAAGAAATACAAAATATTTACTTCAATATTTAAAACAACAAGAACCAAAGATCCCAAATGGTAGCATTCCCTAAGACAGCACAAACCTAATATTAAAAATTTACTAAAAGACCTAAGTCCCTCCCTTGAACCACAAGATCTTTTGACTTGGCCAGCATGGGAAAGCAACTTATTTTTTCTCAGCTCTTGGCTGTGACAATAAATAGAAAAGAGGTCCTTAGTGTATCTACTTCTCTGCACACAAAATGTATAGAACTTCAACTAATTCTAGAGCAAATACACTGTCTCCACATTTCTTACTCACTTCTCACCTAGTCCTGTCCCATTTAGAAAACTATACAAACTTCACTCCCAAACTACACATGAACTCATCATCTTTCTGGATGTCTAGGTACTTGCCTCTAAAATATTTAGGAAAGATGAACATGAAGATTTTAGTATTATTCATCAAATGGCAGTTAGGTGAGTATTTTTTGAAGAGCATTAGTTATGATCCCTTCACACTGGAAATTCAAAGGCAGTAACATGGGAGAAAATAGCTCATCTTGTCAGAGAGAAAACAGAAAAGGCAAAACATTTGCTTGGGCAAAACAGGTCATTTCATTCACAAAGGCATAGACCACCCCCTACCACATACACTATAGAGCAGAGACTAAACACTCCAGGAATTTCCTCCCTATGTGATATGGGAGAAATGCGACATAAAAATAAAATTTCCTTTCTCCACAGGTTAAGAAAGAATCTATATACACACTGAGCATCATCCTGGATTAGGCTAAAGTCTGTGCAAATCCTAGAAACCTCCATTCCAAAAACGTATTGAAAAGATTTATACTTAAATCCTTTTTAGGCACAGAAAACATAAGTAAACAGGAGAATATGGGGTTCTTCTACCATTACCCACTATTAAATGGGTGTAGGAATCATAAATAAATGACTTATACAATAAACTACAAAAAAACAACAAAGGTGTCGGTTCAGTCCACAGCTTTAACCACTTGGTATGGAGACTACAAATGAAATTATATAAACAGAGAGAGATAGATTGATTTAAGACTTTGGAGGTTCACCAGCACTCTATCACTGAAATTTAAGAATACTACTTACATAAAAGTAAGTGAGTGTAGGCTGGGCACAGTGGCTCATGCCTGTAATCCTAGCACTCTGGGAGGCCGAGGCGGGCGGATTGTTTGAGCTCAGGAGTTCGAAACCAGCCTGAGCAAG